TGTGTGTGTGTGTGTGTGTGTGTGTGTGTGTGTGTGTGTCTCTGTGTCTCTGTCTGTGTGTGTGTGTGTGTGTGTGTGTGTGTCTGTGTCTGTGTCTGTGTCTGTGTGTGTGTGTGTGTGTGTGTGTGTGTGTGTGTGTGTGAATGTGTGTGCGATGCAGGAGACACAGAGTGGGTTCAGGATGAGTGTGTGGACATGAGCACTGCCAAATGCCCTGCCAGGTAACACACACACACACATTTATGATCACACACTGTAAAGAATTTCTGCCATGAATGAACCAAAATCAAAGTGAACTGATCTAAACCTGCACTGAACTTTGAATTCAGTTACTGATGAAGAAAAGCCCATTAAAATTCATAAAATCAGAGAGAAATTAAGTAGATGAGAAAAAGATGTTAGAAGATGCGTTACAGTATATCAGAGTTCACACGCTGCATTCATTGAGCAAAGACTGGAATATGCAGCATTACTTCAGCATGTAAATTACAAATGAATCACTACACCACTGAATCAATCATGAATGAATCACTACACCACTGAATCAATCATGAATGAATCACTACACCACTAAACAGGTGGGTAGAGTATCCAAAAACTGTCCTGACTTTGGGGGGGGGGAAAGTACAAATAGTTACTCAAGTAAAAGTGATCATCTTAATACTTACTTCAGTAGGAATAAAAAATCCTTAAAGTTACTAGTTACTTCGGATCTTCAGATATGGTTTCAGTTGACTGTAGGTTCATGGCCACTTCATGACGCTCTTTACGTTCTCCGTGTTCTTTAATTTTCTGTTATGAATGAGAAACCGCTTCAGATGATTCAATGCTTGCAGGGAACTGAACAAACGATTCAAACTGATTCGCAAACCAATTCAGACCATTTTCTCAACTTGTTTAATCGAGGCCTTGAACAGAATCGACTCAAAAAGAGCAATTCATTCGTGAATAGGGCATCACTCATTCCCCAGAAAACGTGCTTGGAATAAACTACACATTTCTTAACACGTGTTGCGTTAAAATTCAAGGGCGTAGGTTTGATTTTGGCATTGGTGTGGACATAACGGGCAGACAACAGACATTTAATTGTTTGATCATTAGATAATTTAGTCTCTGATACTGGTAGGAACATGTCATAGCGTCTCTACTAAACTCTACACCCCTGAAAATCAGAACATAACAATGTCTGACTTTGGAAACTATAGTCCTCTCCTTAAATATGAAGAGGTCAAACAACAGATTAATGAGTTCATCCAAATTTCACAAAGCTTATGGATGTGATTATAATATGAGTCAGACACTGAAGTGAGTTGCTCTTCTTGGAAGATAGATTTATTTAATGTTCATCTGAACTCGTTTTGTAAGTGACTTTTCTTTCTGTTTTAGACATGTTTTCTTTGGATTGTTTGACTACTCGAAAGAACATAGGAAAATTTGAATTTATAATGACTCGTTTTAGCGATTCAGAGTCGACTCTTTCTTTTGAGACACACTAACTTTATTTATGATGCACTTTCAGCTTTACAACTTTGCAGCATTAGATAATTTAGTCTCTGATACTGGTAGGAACATGTCATAGCGTCTCTACTAAACTCTACACCCCTGAAAATCAGAACATAACAATGTCTGACTTTGGAAACTATAGTCCTCTCCTTAAATATGAAGAGGTCAAACAACAGATTAATGAGTTCATCCAAATTTCACAAAGCTTATGGATGTGATTATAATATGAGTCAGACACTGAAGTGAGTTGCTCTTCTTGGAAGATAGATTTATTTAATGTTCATCTGAACTCGTTTTGTAAGTGACTTTTCTTTCTGTTTTAGACATGTTTTCTTTGGATTGTTTGACTACTCGAAAGAACATAGGAAAATTTGAATTTATAATGACTCGTTTTAGCGATTCAGAGTCGACCCTTTCTTTTGAGACACACTAACTTTATTTATGATGCACTTTCAGCTTAACAACTTTGCAGTCTGTTTACATTCACATACTTTACGTTATACACTGCATGAAAGGTCTTTTTTTTTTTTTTCCATAATAGGGGCACTTTAACTAATTTTAACTAACAAAAATCTGGTTCTAAATCTCTCTTTTCTTTATTGAAAGTTGATCATCTAGACAAGTACATGGAAACTATCTATCTAAATGTAATACTTTTTTAAACCTGGCAACACACCCCTTAAGAAAATTAACCATGGTTTTACTCCAAAAAAACAAAACACGTGGTTACTATAGTTAAACCATGGTTTTAACCACAAATTAACCATGGTTTTGCTACACTAACCAATGTTTAACCATGGTGTTTGTAGTAAAACTGTGGTTATACGGAAAAAATGGTTATTACACTTTTACCACAGTTAATTTTCTTAAGGTATTTGTATTTGTGTATACTTTTGTTTTTCTTTTAAAGAGTTCAAACGGAGGAGAGGTGTTCATGAATCTGCTCTTATGTAATCCAGCTGTGCGCACTCATCATTAATAGACATCGCTTTGAAGAGAGCAGAGGATTTGCCATTCACTTGCTTCGATTCCTCCTCGCGTCCAATCCTTGCATCCTTCTAACACAGGGATGAAGTGAGGGAAGGAAACGAGGATGCACAAATAAGAAATGAGAAGTACTCCTGATCTGAATCAAATGATTGGCGATACGTGAAGTCCCGATCAAATGATTCGCGAATCCGCACCGAAGTCCCGATCTGAATCAAATGATTCGCTGAATCTGCACCGAAGTCCCAATCTGAATCAAATGATTCGCGAATCCGCACCGAAGGTAACGTCTAAATCAAATGTTTCGCGAACCCGCTCCGAAGTTCCGATCTGAATCAAATTATTCGCGAACCTGCTCCAAAGTGCCGATCTGAATCAAATGATTCGTGAACCCGCTCTGAAGTCCCGATCTAAATCAAATGATTTGCGAACCCGCACCGAAGGTCCGGTCTAAATTAAATGATTCGCGAACCAACACCGAAGTCCCAATCTGAATCAAATGATTCGCGAATCCACACCGAAGTCCCGATCTGAACCAAATGATTCGCGAACCCGCACCGAAGTCCCGACCTGAATCAAATGATTCGCCGAATCCGCACCGAAGGTCCAGTCTAAATCAAATGATTCGCAAACCCGCACCGAAGGTCCAGTCTAAATCAAATGATTCGCGAACCCGCTCTGAAGTTCCGATCTGAATCAAATGATTCGTGAACCTGCTCCGAAGTGCTGATCTGAATCAAATGATTCGTGAACCCGCTCTGAAGTCCCGATCTAAATCAAATGATTTGCGAACCCGCACCGAAGGTCCAGTCTAAATCAAATGATTCGCGAACCCACACCGAAGTCCCGATCTGAATCAAATGATTCGCGAACCCACACCGAAGTCACGCTCTAAATCAAAATGATTCACGAACCCGCACCGAAGTCCCGACCTGAATCAAATGATTTGCCAAATCCGCACCGAAGGTCCAGTCTAAATCAAATTATTTGCGAACCCGCACCGAAGGTCCGGTCTAAATCAAATGATTCGCGAACCCACACCGAAGTCCCGATCTGAATCAAATGATTCGCGAACCCACACCGAAGTCCCACTCTAAAATAAAATGATTCACGAACCCGCACCGAAGTCCCGACCTGAATCAAATGATTCGCCGAATCTGCACCGCCGGTCCGGTCTAAATCAAATGATTTGCGAACCCGCACCGAAGGTCCGGTCTAAATCAAATGATTCGCGAACCCACACCGAAGGTCCAGTCTAAATCAAACAATTCGCGAACCTGCACTGAAGTGCTGATCTGAAACAAATGATTCGCGAATCCACACCAAAGTTCCGATCTGAATCAAATGATTCGCAATACGTGATCCGATTGCAGCGCTTTAAAACAGTGAATCATTTTGCGACGGTGGTTTAGTTGATTGTTTCGAAAAGCTCTGTTTCACCATCACTACGTGCTTTTTAAAATCATTTCAAGCGATGTCGATATTCGCAAATGAATGGCTCTTTTGATCTGTTTTTTGCTAGTGAATCGCTTGTACTGAATGATCAGAGTCACGAGTTTGAATCAATCGGAGCGGTTCCAGCGTAAATGACTCACTCAATTGAATCGGTTCGTCTGTTCCTCTTTTCTCGTTTTCACTCATGTTTACACGACACTGTCAGCACTACTACTGACTCAGCTCATTAGTTTCATGACATTAACTGAAATAAGTGAAAAAGTATGATGTTTACAAATAAAATATCCATATTTCCATTCCAAAGATAACATCCAACACAAATCTAGAACAGATTCAGGTGAGGTAACTGGTTTACTGCTAACTAGTGAATCACTCCATTAATATGATGAGCTGCCGCTCAAAATACTTGTTAGATGGAAACATTGTGCTTTATTATCGAGTTTGTAGCTTAATTGACTATATTTGAAATAGTTTGACTCTGCAGTTCAGTTGCTGACAGTTCAATAGGAAATCAGCTGAAAGCATCCAGTGAATGTTGAGTTTATCAATATAAATATTTGAGAAATGATTGTTGTATCTGATTGTATGAGTCTATATAGAGTGCAGGTCAATGTAAAAAGAGCAAATGAACACAAAACAGCAGAACAGCATGAAGTTAAAGAGGATAAACTTTCTCATTCAGCTGAACTGTGCTCGTGTGTCTGAAACACTTCTGCTCTTATCTGTTCTCACTCCACACATCTATTAAATGTGTGCAGTTTTCTAGTGTATTTCTTTAACTTCTTGGGTAATATCAATGGTGTGACCAATTTCAGATGCGGCCAAAATTACAACAACAGTGTCACATGCACATATATTTAATTGTTTGATCAAAATAATTGCTAGGGGCAATTTAGTATAAATATTGATTTAGATATTGGTAAAGACATGTCATAAAGTTCCCACTAAATTCTGGCTGTTTTGATGACTGGTAGATTACTATGATTTTCTCAAGAATCTTTGACCCATACAGAGACACTCAGTGTATGGTGTTGTTAGGAGGAAAAGAAAACACTCAAATAATGAGAATCCTGTCATCATTTACTCACCCTCATGGTGTTCCAAACCTGTATGAGCCTGTTGACCACAAAATAAAATATTTTGAAGAATGTTGGTTACTAAGCAGTTGTGGTAGCCAGTGACTTTTGCAGTATATTTGCATTACTATTGCAGTCAATGGACACCGTAAACTGTTTGGTTACCCACATTCTTCTTTTGTGTTTCAGCAGCCTCATACAGGTTTGGAACAACATGAGGGTGAGCAAATGCTGATAGGATTCTCATTATTCGGGTGAACTGTCCTTTTAAGAAGAGTGTGTGTGTGTGTGTGTGTGTGTGTGTTTGTGACATATGAGGACACAAATTTGTATAATGACATGGCTATGACTTAGGTATTACAAGGATTTATGAGGACATTTTGAGTGTCCCCATATTTCAAAAGGCTTGTAAATCATACAGAATGTTTTTTTGAAAATCTAAAAGTGCACAAAGTTTCCTGTGAGGGGTAGGTTTAGGGGTAGGGTTGGTGTAGGGCAATAGCATATACAGTTTGTACAGTATAAAAACCATTACGCCTATGGAATGTCTGTGTCTGTCTGTGTGTGTGTGTGTGTGTGTGTGTGTGTGTGTGCGTGTGTGTAGTTATAAGAGGCAGCCGCTGCTGTTGGTCTCTCTGGATGGTTTGAGAGCTGAATATCTGCAGTCGTGGCATACGGTGGTACCAGTGCTGGACAAGATCAGTGAGTCAAACACACACAAACACACATGTTCATCCTCTGTTATCCTCGGTAAAACGCTGTGTGTGTGTGTGTGTGTGTGTGTGTGTGTCCAGGACGCTGCGGTACGTCGGCACCCTTCATGCAGGCCGTGTTCCCCAGTAAGACGTTCCCTAACCACTACTCCATCGCCACAGTGAGTCATGTCACACAAACACACTCTTTCTCAGATGTACTTTGCCAAAATCTGTAAATAAAAATTTAGAGCGAGCATACTGCAAATGTCTGTGGTTGCTGAGGTTGTAATACCGCTTCTCCTCCAGAGTTTTTTGACCTATTGAACTACCGCTTGGGTGCCAGTCTTTCATCGTGGAATAATGAAATTAAGGGCAAGCAAACCACAGAAACTGCTCATTTTAACTCTGTAAAGCCTGACATTTGAAGCAATAGTCCAAAAAAATCAAGCTTTTTGAAATTGAACACCTTTAGACTAAATATTACAAAACATTTCCATATGTTTTATGTTTTGTATCATATTTGGGATGCAAAGGGGTGGAACATTTCCAGAACATTTCTGGAAACTTTCCAAAAGTCTCTGAAAATTCATGAAATTTTCCAAAAAATCACGGAACGTTTTGGAAATTGTCCACCTTTTTGCAACCCTAATCAAGATTTTATCAAGTTCAAGTTCAGTTTATTTATAAAGCACATTTAAAAACGGCCACAGGCCGACCAAAGTGCTGTACAAGTTAGAATAAAATAAAAAATTAAATACACTAATAGCAGCAAAACAGTTAAAACAGAACACTCTTATAAAATACACTAATAGCAGCAAAACAGTTAAAACAGAACACTCATAAACTAAACGCAACAGAGAATAAATAAGTTTTGAGACATGACTTGAACTCAGACAAAGTGGAAGCCGATCTAATATAGAGTGGGAGCTTGTTCCACAGTGTCGGGCCGGCCACTTCAAAGGCTCGGTTACCCCTCGATTTTAGCCGGGTTTTAGGTATCTGAAGGAGGAGTTTATCTTTGGATCTAAGGCCTCTGGTTGGGGAGTAGGGGTGAAGTAGATCAATTCTAAAGTTAATCGGAAGCCAGTGAAGGGATCTCAGAAGGGGGTAGCGTGATCAAATTTCCTATTTCCCTTCAGGAATCTCGCCACAGCATTTTGAACGACCTGTAAGCGTGCCGTTTGGGACTTACATATACCAAAATAGAGGGAATTGTTTTCCTAGACACAGGCATATAGATTTGCATATCATCGGCATAGCAATGAAATGAGACATTATGTTTCCTAAATATGGAACCCAAAGGGAGAAGATAGAGAGAAAAAGGACAGGAGCTAAAACAGAGCCTTGAGGCACACCACAGGATAGATTGCGAAGAGACGAAGAGAAACGTCCTATTTTTACAGAGAAATGTCTATTGGTTAGAAAAGATTTATAGAACTTTTACAAGAGCGGTTTCTGTGCTGTGCAGTGATTTAAACCCCGACTGAAACTTCTCAAGAATATGGCTCATATAGTCTGATACAGTGAGAATATGAAGGAAAAACAGCGCAGTTTTATTCAAAGACTCAAACTGAGCAAAAATATGCAATTTGCTGATGCTGATATTTATAGTATATGATGAAACTCTGCTTATTCTGATGTTTACTTGATAAAAAAACAGTCAAGATTTGACACGAGAAGCTCGAGCTGAAGCTGGACGTTTGTAAAATTACACTAAAAGAGCTTTGACTGGATAAAAAACTCAATCAGAGACAGAAGACATGAGGAGATTGAGTATGAGACAGGTCTAACAGCATCATGCTGATCATTTGTTGATGAAGTGCCTTGTTTTTGTAAGGTGTTTTGGATGAAAGCGTGTGAGTGTGCAGGAAGTGATGTCGTGTGTGGTCGTGTTCAGGGTCTGTATGCCGAATCACATGGGCTGGTGGATAATAACATGTACGACCCTGTGTTCGACGCCTCCTTCAGTCTGTCCAACAGTGAGAAAAACAATCCCAGATGGTACCAGGGACAACCGGTAAACACACAAACACACACACACACACACACACATCCATGACCGCTGACATCCTGTACTGACCTCTGACCTTTGACCTCAGATCTGGAACACGGCCATGTATCAGGGGCTGAAAGCGGGAACGTTCTTCTGGCCAGGATCTGATGTGGCCATAAATGGGAGTTTCCCAGATATCTACATGAATTACGATGGGTTAGTTTACCTCACACACACATCACATGGTGTTACTGAGTGTGTGGAGAGGGAGGTTTGTGCGTCAGATTCATTCCTGATAGTGTAAACAGAGTTCAGTGATCAGGTGGGGTGTAGCGTCACGGCCGCAGCTCTTAAAGGCACTGCTTCTCATCTCAAGTAAATAAACTGCATTCGCTGGATAATGGAGATGGTTTCAGATTGCGCCTGTTATCGTTTGATCACTGTTTATACATCCCTGCTGTTTAAAATCTGACCCTACACTGAGTTTGGGTCTCCTCTGCAAATTCGTTTAACTCAGATTTAGGTAGAAATTGTGTGGTTGTGTTTAATGTAGTTGATGTGTTTGTTTACTGCTTTAAGCTCTGGAAAAGAGCTATAGAAATCCAAATGATTACTATTAAGAGTATTAGTATTACATTTACATTTACATTTAGTCATTTAGCAGACGCTTTTATCCAAAGCGACTTACAAATGAGGACAATAGAAGCAATCAAAACCAACAAAAGAGCAATGATACACAAGTGCTATAACAAGTCTCAGTTAGCTTAACGCAGTACACGCAGCAAGGGTTTTTTTTAATCATATAATAAATAAAAAGAAAACAGATACAATAGAAAAAGAATAGAGCAAGCTAGTGTTAGAGGCCTTTTTGCTTTTGTTAATTGTATAATAAATAAAAAGAAAACAAATAGAATACAAAAAGATTAGAGAATTGTTATTTTTATTACTAGTATTAGTATTAGTATTGTTAATATTAATTTTAGTATTAATCTTAGTATTTATTTTATTTTATTAATATTATTAATAGTAGTAATAGTATTATTATTAATGGTATTATTAGTATTAGTATTTTAATAGTAGTATTAGTAGTAATAGTATCAATTATAGTATTACAGTTAGTATTAGTATTATTTGTAGTACTAGTTTTATTGTTCATTTTATAAGTAGTTGTAGTAGTAATAATATCAATTTTAATTTTATTGTTATTATTTATATTAGTACTACTATTATTATTCGTATTAGTTTTATTATTAGTATTTGCATTACTGCTCAGTATTACTCAGTATTTTTCTTAGTTTTAGTTTTAATGTTAGTATTTGTCAGGCTTGTGTTTTGTTCCCCATGTGCTCCCTGTGTCCCAGTATTTATGCCCATATTTGGTTAGTTTCCTGTTCCTGTCCTGATTATGTTGATTTAATTCCAGGTGTTCCCCGTTTATTTCCATTGACCCCAGGTGTGTCTAGTCATCCCCTCGTCTTGTCATGTGTTTAAATAGTGTTCCCTGTTTTTAGTTCAGCGTCCGGTATTGTT